GGAGATCCCCGACCACCCGGGAAAGGCCGCCTTATGCGCCAGTAATGCAGCCTCCGACGGGCACCCAGCCGCGGATTAACCTCCGGGAACGGGCTGTCCTGGACCTGCCGCTCTCGAGTCCATCCCGGTCCATCCACACCCCTGGAAAGGAGCAGGCGCGGAGCCTGCGCTTCCAGGGCGCGTTCGGAAGCAGCGCCAGCTCCCCTGGCCGATTTCTGCGGGCTGTCGGCAGTGTTTGTCCCATTGGCGCATCCCGGGTGTCCCGCGGGGGCGCTCGGTCTCGGGGATCACCCCAGAGCGCATCCACCTCTGCCCCGCAGCAGAGCTCCCCGCTGCCCCCTCCTTCCCGAGATGCTCCCAGTTATTTCATTTATTTTTTTCCCCGCAGACACCATTGTGCACTGACCACAGACCCTGCAATTAATTAAGTTTCATCGGGTGACAGCCCGCCAAAATGTTTGAAATAAACAGCACACAATCGGGATGCCACGATACCGGCGGGGGAACAAAGTGCCCGCGCGAGGGTGGAGCAGAATGGGAATGAGGGATTGTAAATCCTGACGAGGAGAGAAAGCAGGAGGGAGGGGGCTGGGGCCGCCCAGGCAGAGGCAAAGCAGGATTCAGAGCCCTCCGGCCATGAAATGACATTGAAAGAAGTCAATCCGCTGGAATCCATGGAAAATGAGGGCCCCGGCGCCTGGCGGAGCCCTGCTCCAGGCCTGGTTTAAGGTGGAGCGGCCAGGGGCGCCTCGGGCAGTCCTGTGTGTGCAGCGAGAACTTGGATGGCAGCGGGAGCAGCTGGAGACGCTGGGAGCCTCCAGCAAGAGAGAGTCCAGGAGGTCCCTGTGTGAGTGGGACGTTCCCAGGTGTGCAGCACAGGGTCGAGCAGAAGCTCATGCAGAGCTACACAGGTGGCTGAGGCCAGCAGGATGCTTCAGGCAGCCATGGCCCAAGCTGTTGGCTCCAGCTCAGGCACCGTGTCCTCGCAGTGATGCACAAATCCTGCCCTGCTGGCCCATGCCCCGACGAGTCAGCTCTGCTCCTTGATTCACCTGGAAAATCAAGCAGCAAAGGAGAAAATGTCAGTGCCACTGCCAGCTGGGGTGGCACGAGACTGTGGAGCCAGCGGGGCTGTGCAGCCCATGCAGCCCAGCTCCCCATGCCCCGCTCTGGGGCTGCCCACGGGAACCCCCCGCTCCACCTTAATGGGCTGCATGTGCAGAGCCTCAGCAGCGCCTCGCAACCCCGCCGGCTGGGGGGCCTGCGGGAGCCGAGGGGGCGCTGGGGCTGCCGGGCTCCTACACCGGCCTCTGCACGCGCCGCCCACGCTGAAACGCTGCCCGCCTGGGACTGCTCGCTGGGCGCTGCTCCCCGAGCTCCATCTTTTTCCCAGCAGACCTGGGCAGCAGCCTCTGCCGGGTTGTTTGGCCAGCAGGGAGCAGGGCTGGAGGGGGTTGCGGGGTGGCCAGGCGCCTGCCCACTCCCTCCCGCGGGTACCCGGCCTGCCCGGGGTCTGGGGGCTCCAGTGATACTGGCAACTCTTTTTGCCTCCTGCAGTGCAGGGATGCTCCAGTGCTCCCTCAAGCGGGTCCAAACCGCCAGATTGGCCCGGGGGAGCCCCTCTCCAGATGCATGGCCCAGTGGGATTTTGGCAGGAGGAAACACGGTTGGATACCCTGGATACCAGCACTGCTTGTGCTTCCAGCGCAGCTGGCAACGATTCATGGCATGCCCAGGTGCTCCCTGGATGCAGATGGGGCAGAGCAGGGGTCGATCCCACCTCTCTGCCCTTCTCTGGCCAGGCCAGGACTTCCCGTCTGCCTCAGTTTCCCAAAAGTGCTGCCAGGGGCTGGCACGTGCTCCATGTGGGAGCCAGGACAGGCACGCACTGGCCGGCGTGGGGGTGAGCGCAGGACTGCGGGGTCACATCAGTGTCTGTGTCCCCCTCCGCCAGCCCCGGCATCCATCTGGCAGGT